CCCCCCCCCCCCCCCCCCCCCCCCCCCCCCTGGCCCCCTCCCCGCTCCCTCCCAGAACACTTTGAGTAGCGTGCACAGACAGCTTTAAAAAAAAAAAATCCTCCCGTGCTCCTCTGACATCTGTTTGGCCGAACCAGCACAGCAGCACACTCACAGCAGACAGAATGATTCAGCAACAGTGCAACACGTGACTGACATTAAAACAGACTTTGCATAAAACAGTGAGTTCTCCACGTTTTAGGAATAAAATGGTTTCAGCCCCCCCGACCGACCTCTCTTGAATTTTGGGGTGTTTTTCATTTGCCACAAAGAAAAGTCAGCCAAAATAAACGAAGATGGATGTTTTAAAAAATAGAGTTTTACAGAGAAGCTGAATCAGTACCTGCTCCTGGAAAACAGTCCCAGGGATGGGAACTGACGACCTGTGTTGTGTTTGGTAGTTACACCTCAGACTTCCGTGTTCAGAGCCTGGCAGCAGTTCCACATGACAGCAGGTCTTTTCAGGCTGTCTGACATGTGAATTGCTGCAGCCGCCGGCTGGGTTTATCCACTTTTATGAACAAATGTGTTAAAAGCTTCACCAAGGTGTTTGTGAAGCTTCAAAAACTCAGCGCTGTGTTTGTGAAGCCACATGGTTGACTGCCTGCCTGGTTTTTAAAAACACTCCCCGACTCTCCTGTCTCAAAAGAACCTGCCTCCGAAATGTCTTTAATAAATACCTCTGAAACAGAAATCCACAGATATTCACTTGTACAGTATGTAGTACTTTAGAGAGTGAAGGAATGGGGGGTATATATTTACTTTCTACTAAGGATGTTGGCCGATATTATTGTCCCGACATCAGCTTAATTGTGTAATATTTGTAAGAATCGTTAGCTGGTTTTTCCTCCGATAACAAACACCTGGTAACGCATAGCCTGGGTTTCACCAAATGATGTGTGCTCTAAAAATAGTTTTGGGGGAAAACGGCTGTATATGAAGGTAAAAGCCACTAGATGGCAGTATTCTAGCTCATTTTATTAATCTCTATTAATAATCAGGGGATCGTTTGCAGAATGCTTTTTACAGATAAACAAATAAATATTAAAAAAATCTATTTTGATTTGATATTAAAAAATCAAATTTAAATTCTTTTCAAGGGAGTTCCGTCCCTTCCAATCACAGCAGTCATCAGTTGAGGGCGGGGTCACGCCTTGGGATGACCTCCACTAGGGCACATATAGAGATAAGCACCTATTTTATGTGACTCGTACCAGGAAGCCGTTGGGGATGGAGCTATGCCGTCATGTGGAGCAGTTCGGGTCAATGGCACTAATGGGACCTTGCTGCAGTCCACGACCCAGATGTTTTTTTAAATAGTTCTTCCTGTAGATGAATGTCGTGGAAGAAGACATTCTGATTCCCTAAACTTGATCAGAATACGAGGCTGGGACCAGAGAGGCAGTAGTGAATGTGTACACCCTGAAGCCTGAAGCTTTTGCACAGTACTGCATATACCTGACTCTCCTCCCCTGCGATGTGTACTGTATATTAAATGAACCCAGGATTTCCAGCCACCGAGGATATTTGAGTTCAGATCAACTCTTCAAAGAAAACGACACTGTAGCCGAGATTCAAATAAAATCTTTGGCCAAACAAAAAACCTGTTTGGGTTCATGGACAAATGTCTCTGATTCAGGTGAGGACGTCAACAGCTGAGGCTGAAGTTTAAAGATCAGTCAGAGCCCACAGAACTCTGCAACCCCCCCGCCCCCACTACAGTCCAGGACTCCTGTGGGGGAGGCAGTCTTAACGGATGAGGACAACCGCTGCTGCACATTAGGGCTGACAGCTAGATACTTCAATAATCATTTATTCAATATTACACCTACATTATAAATGATCACTGTCTCTGACCTCAAACATCCACCAGCAGGTGTCACCTCCCAGTATCAGAGCTGGACACAAGGCCCACGGTGCTTGTTAAGGAATGCTAAGTGTGTGTGTGTGTGTGTGTGTGTCTTCTAAACATTCAGTTCACAAACAGTTAGAGAATGATGTCAATGATGATTTATAAAGAATAGATATTTTTAGAATAGATTAATGGACTAAACCTATGAAATGGACCTTGTTTTGTTTTGGTGGTAGATGCGACCAGGCTTTACTCAGTTAGCTTCTGTTTTTATTATTCCTATCATGTGCATGGTTCCCTGGGGCTTTTTTTGTGTTTTTGTTTGTTTTGCACCATATAGAATTGTTTTCATAAAATCATGTTTAGTGTCACATGACACATCTTCAAAGTGTATGGAGATTTTGCACAGATCCTCATGCAGAACACACACAGTCATTCTTCATTACCTTGACCCACAGCCTTAACTGTTACACATTTTTGGTAAAAAAAAAAGTTATGCAGATGACTGCTGTCTCGCAGCTTAGAAGAAATGTGGGACAGAATAAATTATTTTTAAAAGTTGCTTCTCTCCTATTATCTCGTTTCATCAACCCGAGTGGTTCTCAAACTATGGCACGCATATACCAATGCTGGTGGTGCTCCCTCTAGTGTTTGATCAGAAATCCTTTTTTTAAAAACTGTGCTGGCAAATTTACCTGGACTCCGATCAAACATGTAATTTCCAGTTGTGATTTTCAGAGACTCTCTCTCGGCTGTTTTTAGTCTAGTACCGTCCTCAGCTCCACTGACGAGAAGGTGAGAAATGAGAGGATCTAATGTTTGCCCCACTGGTGACTATTCCTCTCTGTATTATGTTCTCCTAATGCTGCTGCTGTCCAGCATTATTAATGAGTCCCTGCTTTCTTTTTATCCCTTCACAAGATACAGTTGATGGGCTCCGAGCCCCAGACCACGTGTTATATGAAGAAGTTCTCCAATATTTAATTACTGCTGACCTGCTGTCTTTCCTGCCATTGACCTGGGAGCAGCTGGGAGGTAAACTGATATATCTGTGTAGGTAGTGAAGGGGAGTAGGGTGTGGGGGTGGCGGTGGGGGGTTACATGTAGTAAATTGAAATATGTGAAAAAGTTTACAAACCATATTTTTTAGAAAAGTTAGATCCCATTTATTTGTTTGTTTAATTTGCTGTCTTTTTACAATTTATTTGCAAAATTAGACTAAACAGTATTTCTACATTTCCACATTATAAGAATTGGGGTTAAAAATAATTGAGTATTTGACTAAATTTAAATTTTTCACATCACTTCATTTAAAAGGCTAATTTAATTTCACATATAGACTTGGTTTGGTCAGTTAAAATGATAAAAAACCTGAATTACTACTCTGTTGATAATAAAAGCGAATACATTTATGCTCAGAGACGCGCATGGATTATATTATGCATTGTTTCGGTCGGGGCTTTATGCTATTTTAAGCCATTACACGCCAGTGATTTTATTCTGATGGGAATAAAATAATTGTTTGCTGTTTTTCATGTAGCGAGGTAAAAGGAGTCAAATGTTCTGCGGGGGATTAACACGGTGGGTCGTTTCTCTCCTGGGCTCCGTCTCCTGAGTCGGTGACACTCACCAAGGAGAGGCTTCTGTGCGAGAAAACTCAACAGAGCCTGAGCGTTTGCAAAATGCAGATGTAGGACAGATCCTGCAGATACCACAGCGGGGCACTTCACCTACGGTAGTTATTTCTGCCTAAGAAGATCAGTAACGTCGGTGTTTAAGCCTGAGCAGGATGCTGACAGCAGCCGTTGAACCTGCACTAGCTTTACTGTGATATGTCAAACACACAGCTCTGTTTAAGGGGCTCAGCTGGAAATCTGTCAGAGCATTGGCTTCTGGGTAATTTCCCTGATTAGACAAGACACTGTAAATGTATTGAGCGTGTGCAATTGCTCCAGGTGTTTATGAAGCAATGATAGACTTTAGCAGGAGCGAGGCTGCCCCCCAGGATCACTCTAATATAATGGTGAACATTTACCTCTTGGTTTGGCTTGTCATCAATGTGTAACATATGCAGTTTGTTTGTTTTTTTCTCTTCCTTGTCAAAGTAAAGATCTTAGCATTTTCCTGTGTTGTTGTGGCGCAGGCTGTTAGCTCACTCGACCCCTAGAGCCTGGTAATGATAAGAGTTTGTGAGAGATAACGTGAGGATATGTGTAGGAGGAACACAGCCAGAGCAACATCTTACTGTGGCAGCCTGCTGTTTAAAAGGTTGCTGACTGTTTACTGTGTTTGTACACTTTGTACATCAGCAGATCCACCCTCAATTAACTGGACCTTGATGTAAACAACAACATGCAGTTCTGTGGTACAAAGTGCTAGTCTGGGGGCTTTATGTCAACTTACAAAGTTCTCTTCTCGCCAACATGTGTAACTTAAAAATATAATGCTCAGAAAGTGAATAAAAAAACACAAGGTGAAAATGACAATAAAAATAAGGAAACTAAAAGAACAACCCAAGCAGAATTGTCTGCAGCAGGCTTTAGTATAAGTCCATGTGCTAAAAATACAAGGGTCAAAAGTTCTGTTATGATCACTGAAACATGTTAAGACAGGCCTCTCAGGCGCCTGCAACGGCTTTGACAAGTTTTGTCATCATGTCTTTGACAAGTACTGCGCTTTGATACGTTTGATTTGAAAGAACATTTGAAAAGAACTGCATCTCGATTCCTAAGATGGGACAAAGAAGGACGAACGAAGGAATTTGGGAATTTAGCAAACCTTAGTTAAATAGTGGGTATGTCGAAAAATAAGATGATTTTTATTTATTTTCATAAAGACATGTTTTACATTTGTCTTTATGAAAATACTTTTAAGTGACTCAACCTAAGAAATAAAAAATAAAAATCCCATAATTGTATAACCCCTAGAGTAGAACCCATACTGCTTCTGTGGCTAAATAAAAAAAAACACGTTATGAGAAAACACAGATTTTATTATCTGTAGGGTGTAGGGTAAATTACTGTAGCTTTAAAAACTAAAATAGCCAAATAAATCATCTGTGCAAAATAGTTTTCTCTGTGCTGCGCAAGAGCATATTCTTAGAGTCCATTAGACGTGCAACTATCGAGCTGAAGAGACTGCAGCTAAACCTGAAGCTGAACTGATATGTCCAAACAGGAGCAAACTGGATGAAGTGCTTGCGCTGTAATTTCTTGAACCACATAATTAAGAACTGTACAGTAGTGTTAATGTTGTCGACGTCATCATCTTTTTTTTGTCAAATACGTCATTAACGACCACTTTTCTTAAAACGAAAACTTGAACGTGAACTATATAGGAAGTTATGGCGGTTCAAACGAGAGTGACGGACACTTAAGTCAACTCATAAAAAGGACAAGAAATCAGATTGACAGGGACAAGGACCAATCAGCGTTAAACATTTCATAAGGCCCGCCAAGACAAAAGCCAATCACAGGTATGTTTATTGGCCAGAAGGCGGGAGATGTAAACGGATATTCAATCACAGCAAATGTTTTTCCGGCAATAGAAGACTTTTGGTCAATATATTAAATGTGGTCACAAAGTCGTGACCAAAACATGTCGGATACATTTATGGACGCATTTGACTTTGACGTCAGCGAAAACAGAAATGTAAACCGTGCGCAGCGACTGTTGGAGAAAAGAACAAACTAACTAAGGCAGACATACCATCCTAGGATTTACACCAAGGTAATCGAACGAATCCCTTGTCAACAGTTTATTAGTGCGTTGTATTTTGAATATAATACTGTAAATATTGTTCCGTTGGATAAAATATACTCAAATTAATATGTAGAGTAAATAATAAAAATCATAAGTCATTGTCCAGCAAAACATAGTTTCATATTCGAATGTAGTAAAGGCCCAATAATTATTCATGAAAAGAATTTTCAACTTCATGAACAACAACGATGCAGCACTTTAGTCGATTAAATCTATTTTAAATTAGGTGGACAGAAATGAATATAAATTTGGTGACTAAACCACAACTATAACTAAACCAGTTTTATTGACTGGATTGAAAATAAGACTGAGTTAAAATTAACGATGAAGTCTTAGTTAAAATAGTCTGTCAGAATTAACAGTACTGTACAGCCTGCATTACCATAACAGTTTACAGCAATTCCATACATGCACACAGGAAGCCTTTGCCATTTTGTGAGAGGGCACAAGACAAAATGTATGATGATAAAGCTGTTGATGTGGTTTAACAAATAATTATACAATGAAATTCCAATGAAAGGGACTTATGAATTAAAAAAAAAATTCTACATGTTTGCAGAGTTTGGATCTGTGATGGCACCAAGCATTCTCTGGGAAACGAGGAGGACGCAGCACAGCACTCAAGTCCACTCCTACCACACAGTAAGCTGTTTTTATCATGTTTCCAGAATGTTCTACAAGCCCAGTGAGGGAACAGCACTAGAACTTGCTGTTTGACATACTGTTTGTCACAGTATACAAAAAAGTCAGTGATCAGGCCACATGTGTGTACTGTATTATCTCCATTGAGTCTGCATTACCGCTAGTGGGAGTGTGAGGGAAAGTACCACCAGTAGCAGGGAAGGTCCGCAGGACAGTGGCTTGCCCGCTGCTGCTGCTGCTGCTCGTTCATTGCTCCTGTCAGCTGCGATTACTGGCGCTTCAGTTCCAATAAAAACAATCTCTGTCGTGCAGCCATCAGAGCAGCCGCTGCCACTGCCAGAACTGCTGCCCTCATCACCTGCAGCAAGAATTGCATGTATTAAAATTTATATGCAAATGATATCATCTCCGCTATCTACTGATTTGGTCTATGGCAAAAGTCTACAGCCTTGAACTGCCATTTTTTTTAGCGTTTTGCCACTGAATAAAATTCACAAAAATATTTAAATATTGCAAAAAACAAGTAAATTAATAAATAAAACTATTACTTGATTGGAAAAATAAGTATATATTTCTATCTATTCAGTATTCTCTATGACAAACCCACTACACAGGGAACAGTGACATTGTATTGTTTTTCTTAGAACGTTTGGTGTTGTATGTGGTGTTACATTTGTTACAAACTTATTTTTTGTTCATAGCCTTGTCCTGTACAGTATCAACAACATGCAGTGGTTGTAGACAGTGCAAGTTGCCCTGCTATCTACTATGCTATGTATTTAAAGGTTCTGGGGGCTACTTCAAAGGGGCTTAAGAGCCACACTGGGGTCAGGAGCCATAGGTTGCAAAGCCTGGTCCATGGAGACATGACTTGTGGAATGAAGCCTTGTTCTCTCTTTTAAAGCTTGTATCTATAAATCTTTTGACAACAGTATTTAAGGTTTACCATCACATGGCTACATTTGTTAAAAAAAACTTACTGGAGTCCTGAAAGTAGATGTCATTTCCATTGTACGCATTCTTTAACTTGTTGGTCATGACACGTAGAGCCATGATCTGTTGACGTATCAAGGTGTCAGGCCTTGTGATGTCCACATCTACCTCTGGGTTGTTGATTTGGTTTGTTAGGCCCTCCTTCACCACCTCTGGAAAATATCTGAAAGAAACGACCAATATCTCAGCTCTAGGTTTTGCAATGAAAAACCCTTTTTAGTTTGTGTAATGTCCTGTCAATGTAATGGCCCGTGATACGTGCGGGGGTCAATTTCGTTTAAAAAGAAATCAAATCCCTGTGAGTTCTGCGAAAATATACCCTGGTACCAATTGTGGAAATTGTTTGTAGTGATTTGTGACTTGGAGAAGACCAAAGTGATAAGGTCCTGTGGCTGTATCTTAGGTTCACTCTCACTTCAAACAACTTACTGTCCCTACTGCACAGCTCAGTGGCAGTCTACACGGTGCACTTGTGATAAGAAGCATGAAAGCCTCAGAGGGTAGATATCCCATATATATATATCTATATATATAGCACTGTAAGTATTTAGGGTGGTACTAAAGGTAAATGGTTGATCCCTGGACATATTGTGCTTATTTTAATCCCTGGGAGGTAGAGTGTGATAACAGTTCAGTGGATTGTGTTTGTTCTGGCGTGGGGGAAGTCCAAACCTGCCCTTCGTGTGGCTGTTCCAGCACTGCTCATCATCAGGTTCTGTGAGCTTGCCCGTGCTGCAGATTTCATCTGGTAGATTGGACCAGAACCTCTTGGACTGTTTCAGCTTCACTTTGATGTCACTAACCTGCCATGGGCCAAAACAGAAAAAAGGGAATATAGTGAATTGAATATATTTGCATTTTGTTGTCTAAAGGCGGAGAAGTGAGTTGATTGTCTAGTTGGTATGTGTAGCACCAACTACGGCTGTACTTGCATGCAACCAAGATACTTAAAGAACGGATATATTGAAAGGACATAGTAGGAAATATTGAACAGAGCAGACCCCACAAAATGGTAAAACAGTGCAACACATTTGAATTTTAAATGTTCCGTTGTAGGAGCAGTTTATTTTGCATAATGCCGTCTGTCCATGGATTTCTTTGCATTAGTACTGTTTGATTGCTCGGGCTTCCTTCTGTCTGCTTCCTGTACACTTCCCCTCATTTTCTGCTCATCCCTGATTCACACACAACAGATTAGAAGTTTCAAGTTCAATATTTGGCACAAGCCTTTCCCCATGACTGAGTCCATCTGGGCTCAGCAAGACGTTTGACCCCCTCGACCGCAAATATGGCAAGATAAAAAAAGACAGAAAAAATAAACAGATACCATGGCAAGTTTGAATAATTTGAAATCTTGGACTCAGTATTAACTTGACAGGCACCGAAAACAAGAACTTTGTCTAATGAAGTCCCTGCATTCGCGGCATGAATTTAGATTTATAGAACTTATTAATGGAGCCAAATCTGGTAACACTATGGTAGTGGATTCTCAGTAAAATGCCCTGTGCAAAATTTAGGGGGGAAATTTGATAATTTGAGTATAGATTTTGAAAATAATTATTTGGCTATTGAACATGAGAATAAAATTTAAATTTGAATTTTGAAAAAATTAAAATAGCACACTTTATAAAATGATTACATTTAGAGAACATTAAAGACACATGCAAAAATGGTTCAGCTACTATGTTTTAAACATGGTAGCTGAATCAGCTACTATGTTTAAAACATTGTATTAGGCTGTTCGTATCATTGATTTTTTTAAACTGAATGTCTCCATGTTTTAAAATGTGACAATTTTAGCAACTCCATTCTTAACATTTCTTATAAACACACTGTAAATTATACTATGCCGCTTTAACAGTCATTTCCCAATACTACGAAGGCAACATATTTTATGAAAAGACAAGAGCAAATATTTACTTCAAATGTCTTTTTTTGATTTTGAGGTATGTTGCTATGCAGTGGAAAAACAAATCTACTCATAATTAACTGAGATCTCTGCAGAGCTGCCACAGGATAGTTCACTCTTTGTGTGTGATTCCTTTCAGAAATAAAGGAGTGCTGCTTCTCATTTTTCAACCAGGTGACACTCTAAGAATATTCATCACAATTAAATACATAAAATAAACTGTCAAAAACAGAAACCACTTGAAACCACAGAAACCACATTGATTTATAAAACCTTTAACATATTAAGGCTTACATCTGCCTGTTGTTATTTGTCTTTTTGTGTCAGCAATGTACTGAAGTAAAGTCTATACACATATATCATATGTCCATGAACTGTACTTTGTTTTCTAGTAGCTGGCAAAATAAGGAAGTCAGACAAGATACCCTTTTTCATTTGCTTTAAATACCTATTGAATGTTAGCAGAATTGATTATTAGTGCGCCCTCAGAAGTACAGCTCTCTCCTGCGATTACTGCTTTACAGCCTTTTGCATCAAATGACCTCTGAGCCGAAGTGGCAGAACCCGTATCCGGGATAACATTTCACCAGACCACGCTTTATTGTTTTAGTTTGAAGAAGTAAGCTGTCAATCAACCCTGCACTCATGTTGGTTTACCACATCAGCCCAGGATGTGGTATTGACTGTATTGCTATTTGAGGCTGTTGGTAATACAGGTGACGGTATCAAGTTAGTGCTAAGACGCCTGAGGTAAAAACCCAAGAAACAGAGCCATTACTTTATATTAGGTTTGGCTGAAGGCCACTGTAGCTTGTGGTCGACCCAATATAGTCCTAGCTGAGTACATTTCATACAGTACAGATGAACACTGCTATTATGGCTTGGCTTTAGAATAGGAAGGGGAGAAATAAGTACTCTTCAAAATGAAATGCTAAACTGTACACATTCATGTGTTTGCGGTTGTGAAGGCAATTACACTGAAATGAGCTTGAGAGAAAATAAATAGGTGGTAAAAACTCAGCTGAACTGAACAATAAAAAAGGAGAACGTCTACGTAAAATTCCAACTCTATTGTTACGTAGACAGACATCACAAGAAACATTAGGCTTCTATTCAGTAAAGGAGCCCCGTATGGGTTTGTCTGCAGAAACTTGTGGACTTTCTGCAAAGTAGTTACCAAATGTAGTCCACACAGGTTATTTTGGTAGTCTGTTAATTCCCTAAGTGAAACACAGTTTCAAGTATAAACTGATTACCTCACTTTTGGTTTTGGCAAAGAATTTTCATTTGGGTGCATCCATTCTGTGTCTTTTGCAGGATGTTACAATTCACTAATGTTTACTCTTGTTTTACTGTTAAATGTCTCTGAACTGTTGACAGAAAACATTCTTGGACATTTTTGTATTGTTTTCACAAAACCATAAATGTAAGCTCAGCTCACAGACTGCGTCAAATGTTTCCAACCTTTTCTACAGCAATTAAATGTGTGCCTCCAGAGGCCACTGTAAATCTTACACAAACCAACACAAAACAAATCTGTTTACGATTACATCCTCACAGAAGACTTCAAACTAATTATGTTTCCCATTCTTGTCGATTTTTATTTTTCCTCCAACTCTGTTGAAATCTTTGAACTAAAAAGCACTCAAATTGTACCTTCAATGATAGGGCTAGTGAGCAGCTACAGCACAGCACATGCATGTTAAACAAAGTGTGACTTGACTAATGTAAGCACAGATGGAAGTTTCACACTCAGATGGTTTCGTGTCCAATCCCAAGGGTAAACACACTGTTTGGAAGCCGAGCCCTGATAAACAGATACGTCTCTGAAATGTAAAGTTACTTCAGCTACTTTATAAGCTACTTGCAGATTAGATAATACAGTTTACACCAGGGGTTCTCAACCACTTTTGGGACCAGGGATCCCTTACAGGGGTTTGTAGAATCTGACTTGGCAATCTTTTCTGCCACAATGGAAGACGTTTTTTTGAGTGTGTATTTTGCTCTTTAATCTTAAAAAAATGTTGAATTATATACACTCCAAGTAAAAAGTGTCAAACTTAAGGCCCTTGGGATAATTCTGGCCCATCAAATCGTTTTCATTATATATACTCCAAGTCAAAAGTGTCAAACTTAAGGCCCTTTGGATAATTCTGGCCCATCAAATCGTTTTAAGAAATTGACGAGATAACCTGTACTTGTGAAGTAGCATACATTGTGTTCGTAGTTGCATGTGTTCATGGAATCAAAATCTAAATGTGATCAGACTGCCTCTCGTTAGTAAATTGTAACACAGTCCGAGAAATATGATTGGTCTCCCAAGTTAGCTAAAAAAAAACAAAACTTTATTTATTTATTTATTTTTGTCTTTCTTGCAGCCAATTTAGGGCTGTTCAAAAAAACAAAATATTTTTTATTGCAGATCTGGTTTGGGAAATTCTTGTTCTTGAGACATCTGGACAGAATTATCATGTCACTAACAAGCGATCAAGTTCAATAATTGAAGAACATGTAAAGTGCATCTATGACAACAGGAAGATTCTAACAGCACAGGGAGGATGACTTGACTGAGAGTGAGGGGGAGGAATGTGAGGCTTACATTGTGTTGCATTGTCCTCCAGACAACCCTCTGGGAGCAGCAAAGAGTGAAGAAGAAAGAGATTTAATTGTACATCAGACAAACAGAGAGACTGAGACCAGCATAAAGAGACAGAGACAGAGAAAAAGAATGCCATTAGAAGTTGGTGAAGCACAAAGTTTCAATGACAGATGATACAGTGTGAGCAGCTTCAGTTCATCAGGCTAATATATTCATTCGTCCACAGTACAATCACAGTGTCTACATAATTCTGCCGTCTGTGGTAATTGTCATTTTTTTTAGTCTCGTCACCTCGGCTACCACAGGCTTATATACTGTGTACATACATGAACTTCCCCCCATCCAACAACATATTTGTATTATTGTTTTTGATGATACATAGGGCAAATATACACATTTGTTTTACTGTAATGTGCTGTGTTGCAAATATATGCAAGAAAATACTATAATTTAATTCCAAGAATCCTACATTCCTTGTTGATTTCCTAACCAATTGGGTAATCAAGAAAAAAAAACCTAATATAATCTAATGTAATACAATATATTATAATAGTAAAAAGTAATTATATTACACCGTGGTGCAGCATTTGTATTAAAATCACCATTGATCTTATAGTCGATAATCGCAGTTGGTATCATTTCAACTTTTCTAAGTACATACTAGTCTCTCCAGGCTGGTCCCAGCTGCTGTGGTCGGCCTCTCCTCTGGGGTGTACGGTCTGAAGCGAGTGTTAAAGACATCTGAGATGCCACGTGCAGATCTACCCATTCCTGCCGGCTTGGGTTGTCCACAACCTTGAAAGACCTGCAGAGGAAAAAAAATCATCAATATTGGAAAATCGCCTTGAGTCAGTCAACACTGTGTTATTGAAGATTATAAAACCTAATCAGATAG